CGGTTGCTACCCGGATTCGAACCCGGGACCTTTTGAGTGAGAGGCCAACACCTTAACCTCTAGGCCACGAAAGCCCCCACATTTTCTTTGATGTTAGCCTAAAACGGTAAAAAAAAAAGTAAAAGGCGATTTACAACAAACATCTGCAACATTAGAAAATTGACATATTTTCCTAAAAGCCCAAGAAAGACGTAGGGCAAGACACAGGGTGAGTTCTTTTCGAGACACGTGGAGACGTCTAGACAGTCGTGGGATGAAAGAGAACAAGCTTCAGACGATAGATCTAGTATTATAATATGACGCCTTTGGCGTTTATCATTTCTTTTTTCAAGTTCATAATATGGCTCTCAAATTCTTCACCAATATTTCAAAGTCCAACGACCGAACCTACACTTAGGTTCTAATTAATATTGTGTTCATTCTTTGTGGAAAAATGTTCACTTTTTCCAATGGTTTTCTTGTAAATTATGGCATTATAGCTTGATCACTTTCGTCTGAACACATTTAAAACAAGATACAATCAAATTGCTCAGTTGAATCTTCTTAAGTCATTCTGATCCTAAAGTTGGATGCAACGTTTCGTGAGCATTGCTAAATTAATCATTAATGAATGAGCTAGAGTTTTTTTCACACGGACAGACGAACGTGAACTAGCTATAATAGGCCTGCTAGGCTGCCATAATACTATACTCGGTGTATTTGGGGCTGCAAGTCAAGTTATCATTAGCCCCAAACAAAAGATACCCCCCCCCCCCCACCAAAAAAATTTTTTAAAATTGAAACGTACAGAAACAACAACCCAAGGACAAAACATAATTTTTTTAAAAAGTAAAATCTCAAACAAGCACACTCGCTCCTAGAAAAACAACGCCCCCCCCCTCCCCCCAAGAGAAAAACAAACAAACCAACCCAACAAACAACAACACTAACAACAACAATAACAACAACTACGACAACAACAGCAGAAAAAAACCCTCAACAAAATAGACAACAGACACAAATACTAATACAGGGCTTACCAAACAAATACAAGGGAAATAACCCAAAGCAGAAGCATTAAAACAAAACCAGAAAAAAGAGAAAAGAGGACAACAAGAAGAGAAAAACTGACATAATGATTATTATTATAGAATGTGGACCCTACACGTTGACAACTTTTATTCATTTTGGTTTTTTGTTTAAATATTATTTTCTTTCTAATTCATGGAGTTGGGCTTTAAATTGTGGCACAGCTGGAAGTGGACTTGGCTGGCGACATGCTGAGAGATGAGGCTCTGTACCAAGCTGGAGAGTGGA